AGGGCCCAGCGTGGACACCGCCAGACCGCTGACACTCGAGGGACGGTGAAGTGCCGAGCGGCGTCGGGCGGGAGCCAGATGGAGGCGGTGAGAGGGGACGCGGGAGCCGGCGAGGAGTAGCCCGCGGAAGCCCGGGCTCGCACCTGCCCTGGCGCCCTGGCGCTCCGCGGGCACCGGGGCGCGGCGGACGGGGCCCACGGGGCTGCCATGGAGGTGCCGAACGTCAAGGACTTCCAGTGGAAGCGCCTGGCGCCACTGCCCAGCAGCCGGGTCTACTGCTCCCTGCTGGAGACCGGGGGACAGGTCTATGCCATCGGGGGATGTGACGACAACGGTGTCCCCATGGACTGCTTCGAGGTCTACTCCCCCGAGGCCGACCAGTGGACCGCTCTGCCCCCGCTGCCCACAGCCCGGGCCGGGGTGGCTGTCACCGCCCTGGGGAAGCGGATCATGGTGATCGGGGGTGTGGGCACCAATCAGCTGCCCCTGAAGGTCGTGGAGATGTACAACATCGATGAGGGCAAGTGGAAGAAGAGGAGCGTGCTGCGTGAGGCCGCCATGGGCATTTCTGTCACGGCCAAAGGCAAGTGGGGCCAGGGCTGAAGGTGGGCACAGAGAAGCGGGTGGAGAGCCGCGGGGGAAGCAGAAAGCAACACTGATTTGGGGGCCCATTATCACATTCTTGATCCTGTTTGATCCTCACAATAGACACTGAAACTTGAGACCCACTGGCATTACTTTACGGATGGGCAACTGAGGCTCAGCAAGTGAAGTGTCTAGTAATTCCATCTGATGCCAGAACTACGCCCAACAAGCTGGGCAGGCTGCTGCCAGAGGGGAAAGCCAGAGGCGTGGGCTGTGAAGTTTAATGCTGTGTCTCTGCAGACTCCTGCATTCAGCAGAATGCCGCCCCTCCATCTGTCACACCCCATCCCCTGAAACCTGCCTTGCAGGTGCCACCACCTCCAGACACCTATTTGGGGTCCTGAGAGTGTTCACTCCATCGTTGTACCAGGCCCCACCCAGATGGCTTTGGAACCTGATGACAGGTCCCTCTTCCTCCTGCTCTGCCTCCCAATCTTAGAGATGCTATGCAAACACCAGAGCATTCCTGAGGGTTGTACTCCTGCAGCATCTTGCCCAGGGTCACCACGTTCTCAGGGCGTGCATGTGTGGACTACATAGTTTTACGATGATCATTTCATTCTCTCAAAGCCCCTCACTTTATTCTTTTTGGGCCTAATACAGCCCAGAATATAGAGGGGCTCCAAAAGCTCTTTTGCTAAAACACAAAAGGTTTTATGGGAAATGGTCCAATAGGAGTTAGGAAACCCCAAGTTCAGACACACCTGACAGGTTTGCAGTGAGATGTGACCTTCCCTCTATCTCCTCTCCTTCCCTCCCTCTTCTGCTAAACCATCCTAGCTGCCTGTCAGGAAACAGTATTTACTGAGCACCTGCTCCATTCCCCGCACAGTGCTAGGGTCCAGGGAGAAAGGAAGGAGGCAGTAGATCTGGTCCCTGCCTTGGAGAAACTTGGTATGGTCAATAAAGGTGACCAGAGAGGAACTCTAGCCCAGAATCCCTGAGGATAGGGCGACCAGTGGGGCTTCCATGACCTCCAGTAAGAAGGACGGAAGGCCGGGAGGCCCATGGGGAACAAGGGAGAGAAAGAATACCCTTCATCCCCAGGCCTCAATAAACGGTGCTAAAGGATTAAGAATTAACATCTATTGAGTCCTTACCATTGGTGCTTTATATGTATTAACCCCTTTGATCCTCACAACCTGTCCTATGGAATAAGTGCTATTATTTATCCTGATTTTAGAGAGAAGCAGTGTGTGGCCCAGAGAGGTTAAATCACTGGCCCCAGGTTACACAGCTAGTAAGTGATGATCCAGTCTGTACTCTTAACTGTGTCATTAAGTGAGTTCAGTAGTTAGTTTAGGGGCTGGCCCATTAGCTCAGTTGGTTAGAACACAGCCTTATAACACCAAGGTCACAGGTTCAGATCCCCGTACAGGCCAAAAAAACCAAAAACCAAAACAAATGGTTTAATAAGCATTCACATGCCTGTGTGTCAGGCATTGTACCAGATTCTGGGGCTACAGATTAAGATTCTCAAGGACCTACAATCTATTGGAAGAAAGAAACAAAGATTATTTCAGTAATATGTGGCCAGTAGAGTAATGGAGATGCCCTCATTCAGGAGCTGCAGTCTCGGCCCAGCCTTGCAGTTCAGGGACACCCAGGTGGATGTGAAAGGATGAGTAAGAATTGGGCACAAAGTAGTAGTGTGGAGTGGGTGGAGGGATTCCCTGGAGGAGGGGTTTCAGGTAATACAGGGATGGGAGGGGTGGAGCTTGTATAAAGTGAATTCCTAGTTGTCAGGCCCCATCTCCCAGCTTCAGGCTGGGTTTAGAATTTTTTTCCCCAGTAAAATTAGAAAGTTTAAGGAAGAAGTGTGCCTCCCTGCAATAACCCTAAAGAATAAGGTCTCTTAGAGCCAGAAACAGTGAGGGCTGGCTGCTGGGAGACGGAGTTCCAGGCAGGGGCGGGTCCCTGAGGAAGAGAGGGCCCCATGGGGCCTATTTACCTGACAGGCCCAAGAGGAAACACGGACACCTGGCCCATCCTTTCTGGTGCTGAGTGTTGGGGAAGTTCTTTGAAAGGCTACCTACACCCAAGAGCAATAGAGAATGGGAGGGGGCTCAGAGTGCCCAACTCATGGGCAGGGCAGGGTTTCTAAAAGGACCCGTTCTCTCCCCTCCAACACCTCACCCTCATTCACCCCTAGCCCTATCTCATTTAGTGCATGGTGCCTCCTAGATCCCACAGGCCTCCCAATTTGTGAAGGAGGAGGGCATTCTCCCATGGGAGTGGCAGACCAAGAAGAACCGGTGACTGTCCCACAAGGCCAGTAACAGAAGGGCTGACCTCATTTCTAAAGGCCCGTGAGCTATCTAGAGAATTCCAGTCTGGGAATGCCTGGGGAACAGGCCAATACTGGAAAGCATCAGAAGAATACTGGTCCTCTTTGGCTTCCCCCTCTGGCTGTCCAGGAAGGAGGACAGTGGAGGGGACAAGACCTGCGAAGGGTTGTCCAGGCTTGGACTTCACCTCAGTCTACCCCTGTGCAGGACTTAGTATTTTGGGCCTAGCCTAGGGCTGGATACCAAGGAAGGCAGTCCTACCATGGCTTCACCAAGACCCAGGCTCAGCTGTGGCAGAGACTTTCAATGGTGCCATCAACCACACTGACATAGATAGATATGGCTCACTGTGGCAGAACAGTGGTTGGGAAGTTGGCCTGGCCATGGTGGGTCATGGTAGTGATGGGTGGGCCTGTCTCATGGTGCCTGTGAGCTGACCAGGGGTGTGTGTGGCCTTTCTTCTTAGATTACCGAGTATACGCAGCAGGTGGGATGGGCCTGGACCTCCGTCCACACAACCACCTCCAACACTATGACATGCTCAAGGACATGTGGGTGTCGCTAGCACCCATGCCCACCCCAAGATATGCTGCCACCTCCTTCCTCCGAGGCTCCAAGATCTATGTGCTGGGTAAGGACAGGTTACCTGTTCCATATCTGTCCCTCCTTCCCTCCCTCGGGTCAGTCCCCGTGGGAAGCAGTGCCTATGCACTGAGTCTCTCCTTGGCACTGGGGGACAGTCATGCTGCCCCACCCCACAGGGAGCTGCCTGTATGATAGGGCAACAGTCAGAAGAAGAAACCCAGTGCCTGTCCTCAGGGACTGCTCTTCTGCCCAACCTCCACCCTGTTCTGGCCTCCAGGGGGACGACAGTCCAAGTATGCGGTCAACGCCTTCGAGGTCTTTGACATTGAGACTCGCTCCTGGACCAAGTTCCCCAACATTCCCTGTAAGCGGGCCTTCTCCAGCTTTGTGACCCTGGACAACTGCTTGTACAGCCTGGGAGGCCTGCGGCAGGGTCGGCTCTACCGGCAGCCCAAGTTCCTGCGGACGATGGACGTGTTTGACATGGAGCAGGGTGAGCTGGGTGTCAGCCCCTGGCCCTGGTCTCTCAGGGCTCCCCTGTGGAAGCTCTGGCTACCCACTTCCCTTATGGCTGATTCCCCCCACCTTAACCCCGTCCCCACCATCTTCCCAGGGTCATTTACCCAATTGGGTGAGCCTCCCAGAAGTCTCAACACCCTTCTCCACCCAGGGCTACTCTTGGGATCAAATTATTTCATTTGTACAGGGTTCCTTTTTGCTTGGTTGGTTATTTTTAACAAAGCCTTTTCTACATTGTCTCTTTTCTTACAATATCCATGCAGGACCAGGTCAGGGAAGGATTTTTCCTACTTTTTACTGATGGAAAAACTGAAGGATCCTGACTGTTGTACTCACTGCTTTTCTTAGTCTCCTCTCCAGCTTAGCCTGTGAGAACAGAACTAGAACAAGGTGATTCATTGCAGGGGATTTTGGTTCCCTAGATTGCAGCAAGCATGGGAGAGGGCAGAAGTCACAGAGAATGTCATTTCAAACAGCAGGAGGCGCTGTGTATGCCCTGAACACAAATGGTAGATGGAGTGGAGATGCAGCCCTGGGTGAGAGCTATTTGGGACTCCATCTGTACTTTTTTGTGTGTGTGTGTGTGGCTGGCCGGTGCGGGGATCTGAACCCGTTACCTTGGGGTTAAAAGGCTGTGCTCTAACCAACTGAGCTAACCGGCCAGCCTCCGTTTGTATTTGGTGGGGGTGGTCAGCTTCTCATTCTTTCTGTATATCCCACCATTATCCACAACCTGTAGGGGGATGGCTGAAGATGGAACGCTCGTTCTTCCTCAAGAAGCGGCGGGCAGACTTTGTGGCAGGCTCTCTGAGTGGACGGGTCATAGTAGCCGGGGGACTGGGTAAGGATGGAGCTTCCAGGCTGGAATGTATTGTGGTTCTGGTGCTCAGTGATCCTCGGCACTTCGCATGTGCAAGAGAGGATACTGGCTTCTAGCACACCACCTGCCTACTGCTTTATTCCAAAAAATTCAAAACATTCCCTTCCTGCCAGCCTGGATTTTACCTATGCATATATGGCCTCCAAATGTGGTCTTTCTGTCCTCTTGCACAGTGGAAACTGAGGCCCAGAGGTAATAGCAACATACTGATAACCATGCAACACAGACTTGCTGAGCACAGATCCCTGGAACCTATCTGGGAATGAATCGAACCAGAGAGTGGAGGGGATTAGCCTTGGTCCTCCTTCTCTGACCCATCTCTTCTCCTTGTATACCCAGGTTTTTCATGGAATAGGAAAGTAATCGGATCAAACAAATTCTTCTAATGCATTTGGGATTTGATGTATTACCCCTCCCAGAGATTACTGGCATTTTGGAGGAGGGAAGCCCAACATCATCAGGGAAGAGAGAAATGGGCAGTGGGGCTTCCAGGCACCCCAAGTTTACTCAGTGTGGACAAACTCCCACTTTACTCATGCATGAAAGCACCACGAGATCTAGACCATGTGGTTAGTCTTTTTAGTAAAAGGCAGGAGGGAGGCAGTAGTGCTCTAGAAACTTCTGGTAAAAGCAAGGGGTGGGAAAAGAAAGCTAACTCTTAAGGAGATGGAAAGACAGGAGAAAGGTAGGAGGGGCAAAGTGGCTGATTGACAAAAGCCACTGGCCCAGGACAGGGAAGAAGGAGCGATCCTGTAGCCAAGGAAGTTGAGGTTGCTTGGCTTCTGCTTGTGGGTTCCTGAGGGAGGGGGACTGCGGGTGGGGTGACTGTGGGGCATGGATTGGGGACTGCACTCCCTTGTAAGTTCTGATTCCCTTGGTGCTTTCAGGGAACCAACCCACTGTCCTGGAGACAGCAGAAGCATTCCACCCAGCAAAGAACAAATGGGAGGTTCTCCCTGCCATGCCCACGCCCCGCTGTGCCTGCTCCAGCATTGTCGTCAAGAACTGTCTCCTGGCCGTGGGGGGCGTCAACCAGGGTCTGAGTGATGCGGTGGAAGCCCTGTGTGTCTCTGACTCCTAGCTGTCCCTGGGCCCAGCACCTTTGCCCTGGACTATATCACTCCACCCTTGACATGAGGAACAGTCTTGTCAAAGCGATTTGGGCTACTTCCTAGGATGCCAGTTCCTGTTAGCATCCAGGGGGGCCAGGCCCTGAGGCTCGAAGTGACCTCCCTTCACCTCCAAGCCCTACCAATCCCGGAAAACTGTAAGAAGTGCAGACGATTCCATCAGCCCCAGGTTGGAGCTCAGCTGTCCTCTGGGGAGAGTCTCCATTTACTGCCCAGGCACCAAAAGGCACAGGAATATCTGCTACCTCTCCCCGCTGTAAGTCCCACCTCCCCCTATTTCCAGCCAGGGGGGCCAGGCCCTGAGGCTCGAAGTGACCTCCCTTCACCTCCAAGCCCTACCAATCCCAGAAAACTGTAAGAAGTGCAGACGATTCCATCAGCCCCAGGTTGGAGCTCAGCTGTCCTCTGGGGAGAGTCTCCATTTACTGCCCAGGCAACAAAAGGCACAGGAATATCTGCTACCTCTCCCCGCTGTAAGTCCCACCTCCCCCTATTTCCAGGAGGTAGGGCAGTTCTGACTCAGGGGATGAGCTGCTTTTGCTGTCCTTTCCCCAGCTCTGAACTAGTTTGAGGGTTTCTGGGAAGAAAAATGGAGAATGATTGGGGGCGGTTCCCAAACCCCTTTCCTCTCCCTTGTTTTCTATCCCTTTTCCATTTGGCCATCAACTGTGGGCTTGCCCTAGACCTTTTCTACTCAGCAAGACTCGGACTTGAAGCTAGAGGCAGCTGCCCTGGAGGGGAAGTCAAGCTCACGTGGACAGTCCAGGTCAGCAGCCTTGGCAGGAAGGACTCATTGCTCTTGGAGTCCATGCTGGGCACGTGATGATGGGGAAGGAGCAGACCCCCGGCCCTGCGTCTGCTCCCCACATCTCTCCTTGTTCTGCTTTGCCTTTTGCCACCCCCTCCCCACCGCAGGCCTGGACCTTTTGTCACCGGAGGTACCCAGAGTGTTTCTGTGTGAAACCTTCTCATTTACACTGTGGCATCAAAATCCACAAAGGATGGATTAATTGCACTCTGGTTAATAGCAGCAGCACAATAATTAAAATCTATATTCCTATCTTCTCTGACACACTGATACAGGGATGGGGTGGAAGGGCGTCTTGATGGGTAGAGGGGACCCATGAAACGGTCCCTCTGGCATTCTCAGGCTAAATAGAGCCCCACGTGACCACCTACTCATGGCTGTTTCCTCTGCAGAGTTCCACATTCCCACAACCACCACCAGCTGCCCCACTCCCAGAAAAACAGTGCATTTCCTTCTCTTGCGCTGAGACTCCATGTATGTTTTAAAAAAAGGTTGCACTCATTCAGTCTTCTGCCTCAGGTTACTCCTTCTCATGTCTAGCCCCAGCTCATTGAACTGAAGCTCAGTTTTGTCTTACCCAAAGTAGGAAGGGAATTGCTCACTGACTTAAAAAAAAAACTTGGAGAATGTGCCTCTTTTTAGCTTATATAGCACCTCTTTCTGATTCCCATGTATTTTTAAAAGCTGTGCTAGCGTGGGGAATACAAAAATGAGTATCATACTGTCCTGAAGGTTGTGGAGGAGTCAGGTAACACTCATCCTCACGTGATGGTATAATTATTTCTCAGGAGGCAGGAACAGAAGAGGATCACCTATCTGGATCTGAGAGGTCAGAGGGAGCCCGCTGGCGTGAGGGTGGGGGTGACACCTTCAGCTGGATCTTCAAGGACAAGTGGAACCTAGATCTATAAGGGATACGGATATTCCTCTCTTTCCCTGTGTACGTGGGCTTTTTCCTTACTTGGGTCCCAGAAGGGCACTGCCGCCTGCTGGCCCAGCATTTCCTTCTGACCAGGACTAGGAGGCATCCTGTGTCTGCTGGTGCCCCCTAGAGAGCAGGCTGGGGAAAGGCCTTCCCTATTGCTTCTGGATCCCCTATTTTGGTTCAGTTCCCTTCAGTAATCTTTAGAAAAAGTGGGTGGCGGAGCTGCAGGTACTGTGAAGGATAGAACAGCATGCTAGGAGAGGCTGTTCCAAAGGCCAGCCCTGGTATGGTCTCCTCATTCCGCTTCCATTTCTGCACTGCTCCCTTCTCCCCTCCCCAATCCCCTTCCCCAAAAAGGTGTTTACAAACAGGAGTGCCTCCACCCTTTCCAAGAGGAAGCCAAGCCTTATTATAGAGGGTGTCTTTCTAAGGCCCCATATCCTTGGATGGGACTGAGCCATTTTTAAATGGTTGGAACCTTAGGGGTACAGCCAGCTCTGAAAGGTTGAATTAGCTACTGGAACCTGTGAAGGCAGCTCAGGGCTGGAGCTGGTATCTGCTGAGGACTTGACGCTTGGAAGTCCATTCTGGGAAGATTTTGGGGGTGCCTCACTGAGGAGTGAGGGAAAAACAGAATGTCAGTTAAAGCACGTGGTGCTGCGGTAGCAGCGCAGGGCCTGGGGTCGGATGGCCTAGCTCTAGGCCTCACTCCCCCACCCCCAGCGGCTTTCCCATCACCCTCCCACTGTGGAAGGCCCCTCACCTTCCTTGTTTTCATTTCCCAGACTACAAAACGAGAGCAAAGATATTGCCATCTCCTTCAATCCTCAGATCAGCTCTGAGGCAGGGGGTAGCCTCTCTTTTTGCAGATGAGAAAACAGAGGCTCGAAGAGGTTCCACAACTTGTCCAGGGTCACAAGCTAGAGACTGAGCCAGGTCTGATTACAAAACTTGTGACCACGACACTGCATCACCTTAGTGAAACAGCACATAGGAAAGGCAAGATCAACTGCACCTTACTATGTAAACGGCTCAAAAGGTTAAACCCGGAAGGATAGAGGCTCTGTTTCCCAGGGAGTGGATGTGAGGATTAGCAGGGAAAGGCTGGGAAGGGTTCTCTAATGTGAAATGAGCATGGAATATTTCTAAATTTATATCCCAGGGAAAGTTCTCTTCTAATTTTTTCAATCCATTGGCTATTCCAAACCGTTGCTTAACATTTACCACCTGTGACTGTGAAATGAGCATGGAATATTTCTAAATTTATATCCCAGGGAAAGTTAGCTTCTAATTTTTTCAATCCATTGGCTATTCCAAACCGTTGCTTAACATTTACCACCTGTGACGTTCCTGGCTTGTTGCTGGACTTCGGTTTCCTGTCCTCCAGCAATTGTGGTCTTGGGAAGACAGGGGACCAAGAATGCAGTTATTATTTGATCCGTGTCAGCCTTTTCTAGTGCAACCCAGAGGCGCCCCACCCAGGGTGGCTGCAGAGAGCTGAGACCCACTGGGAGGGGTCAGGGCGGGTTTCTGGAAATTAAATCTCAACTGCACTTTGAAAGAAGAGGGAGACCAGCCAGGCAGAGGAGGATGATTTCAGGCTTTGAAGCTAGAGAGACGGGTTCAAATCATGATTGTTCTGTACTAACTGATCTTGGCTACGTTGCTTAACCTCTCTGAGTTTCCTTACTTGTAAAATGAGCAAAATAAGGTCTCGGTATGAGGTGAAGAGCTGCCTACTGTACTATGTGTAAAGTGCTTTGCGCATGCTCAGTGAGGGGCTGCAGTTATTTTCATTGGTGTTGAGGGAGAGGGAGAGGTGTTCTCAAGGCCACCGAGGGAAACATGGGGGGAGGAGGGGCTGGAAATGCAGGCAGGCAGGTCAAGAAAGGCCTTACAAGCCTTGCTAAAGAGTCTGGACTTTAAGCATATAGGAAATTGGGAGCAAATTAAGAGTTTTAAGTGCAGAAGCAGCATGCTCAGATTTGTTCCTCTGTAGTGTGGGATATTCTGAGTTCCTCTTCCGAGGAAAATGAAGTGAAACCACTAAGGCATCCTCTAAATCAGAGGGAACCACAACTAGGATTGGAGTCCTGGTACAATGAGCGTGCCAAGCTCCCCAGGCCTTCTCTGGAGGAGGGTCCATCTGAGGTCCATCTGCTGGGCCATCAGGCCGTGCCAGGAGGCTCGGACCACAGGAGGGTGGACTGGGCCACGCCCTCCATCACCTCATCTCCTCCAGGACTTCTTTCTAACGATCTTGATCTCTTGCATTTGCATTGGGCTTTTATGTCCCACAGAGCTCCTGCACAGGAGGTGGCATGGGGTTGACCTTTTGTATCCCTTATTTTATAGAAGAAGAAACTGAGAACCGGGAACCCTGTGACTAACCCAGGTGCACAGCTAATAAGTGGTAGGAGTGGAAATCTAACCCCGATTGGTATGCAACCCCCTCCCCCCTGCCCCACCACTGCTCTCTGAGCCCTGCAGTGAGAGGATCAGAAAGGGGAGTCACAGTAGCCATCCATATCCCCTTGTGACCTACAGAACAGGCCCAAAGCCTTGAGCTCAAAGCCTCCAGTTCAAAAGAACTTGAGTTGTGAGCAGAAGCTTCATGTCAGGATGAATGGTTACAGGAGTGACGGGGCAAGGCTGGACCCAGGCAAGAGCTGAAGGGTGGGCACACACGAAGACCCAGGCGAGTTGCACGGATGGAGTTTACCATGTGTATTAACTTCAAAATACCAAAAATTAGGTGGCTTAATACAACAGAAATCTATTGTCCCATGATTCTGGAGGCTGGAAGTCTGCAGTCGAGGTGTCAGAAGAGCCATGCTCTCTCCGGGGGCTCTGGGGGTGGTGGTGGGGGTGGGGAGGACAGGATCCTTCCTT